GGATTCACCACGAGCTCAGCCTCCAGGCATCTGCTTCCAGCAGAGGAAGCTGTTGTGAGCGTGACTAGCTACTCACTAGCTGTGATACAGGTAAAGCTGGGGTGGTGGACAAGCTTCACCAAATGCCACACTTGAATTGCTGTGGCTTTGAAGGCTGGGCGAGGAGTTTCAGGTGGGAGCAAAGGCATAGCATCACCAAAGCACTCAGTATTTTAGGGGATTCTTGCCCAGTGCAGCCTGTGTGAAGGCTGGGCAGTGGGGATTAACTGGAAATAGGCCAGTCATGTGTGGGCCTCAGGGTGTGAGCCATGGGACGCCGTGGGCTTTTCAAACAAGGGGGTGAGATGCTGGGTTTGCACGTGTAGAACCTGACTGTGTTCTCCAGGGTGGATTAATGTGGGACAGGGATGCTCTTTACTTGGGACTCAGCTTCTGGAAAGAAACATTTATTTTTTTAAAATCTATTTTGTTTATTGTTGACACTATTACAGATGACCCCCATTCCCCCCCTTCACCTACCTCCACCCAGCCTCCACCCCCTCTCTCCGAATGGACCCCTGAGAACAATAAGCCATTGTTAGTCATTGCTGGAAGGGCTTGACTATAGAACTTCAGGTTGACTTGAGAACCATGTCTAATAGATTTAAGGGGCATCCTTCTTTTTGTCATTTTGTCACTTGAGGGTTAGGGAGGTTAAAACTGTTTAGAATACTTTAAGCATGGATTAACCTCAATTTAGTAATAAGTTGTATTTTTAAGATTTGCAGGTCATTTTGGACTTAGAATACATTTCTCCATATAAACATTGTCACTAGGTGAGGCCATCAAATGCCCACAAGCAGGAAAGCAGGCAGCTCTGTCAGGGAGGCTGAAAGAAACCCAGGTTGGGGTTAGAACCCCTGGGTTCCTGGAGTTCTCGCCATCTGCCAGCTGTGTGCCTTCGGGGAAATCGCCTTGGGGCTGGTTTCCGTCGCTCTCACTCGCAGGGCTGCTGTGAGAATCAGATGAGGCCTGTGGCAGTGCTCTGTGACTTAAAGTGCATACTAGTTACAGAGTCAGGTGTGAGGGAAACGTCCCAAGGGTGGGAAAACGTGTTGGTGGCCAGGAGACATGGCGCTGGCTGCAGGTAGCACAGGGGGCACCGGAGCGCAGCCACCCGGCTTCGAGCTCTCGCTCGCCACCTTGAGGACGAGGGGACCGCAGGGTGCAGGAGATGCAGCTGAGGAATCTTGATGCAGGTCACGGGGCTCCACTTCCTCCGCGGGATCCGTGGGGTGGCAGGGCCTGGAGAGGGACCTGGGCTTCCCAGTCACCCACTGGGCGGGACGAGGCTGGAGAAGAGGTGGAAAGGTGGGGGCTCCGTGCTGGGCGGAGAGCGCATGGGATTCAGGATTGATGGGAGCAGTAGGGGAGGCCCCGTGCCCCATTTCTTTGTGGGTTCTTGCTGCCGCTAAGGCTGTGGCCAGGCACTGGGGGCTGGCACTGGACTAGCCCCTGTGGGGCGGCCTTGGGGGCTGAGGCTGGAAGGAGGGGCGTCGGGTGGGGCAGGAGCTGCTACAGCACCAGGGGAGCCACGCCCTGTGGAGCGCAGCCCTGCCCCCCGCTCCTGGCCCCCAGCTCCGGGCTGCCAAGTGCAGACACCAGGGGCTAATTTACACTAACTCAGTGGTAACTATTTTTGAAAACACTGTTACATGCACAGGTAGTGTATGTATATGTCCATCAATTGAAGTTTACTGAAGTTTGGGTTATTATGTGGACATGATTTAGGATTATTTCATTTCCCCCTTAACTATATCAAGTTGTACGCGTTAATTCAGCAAACACCTGAGTCTGGCTGTGTGCTCTGGTAAAGTTCAGTAATCGTCTCTACTCTTGGGAGTTATATTCTATTTCCTTTAAACAAGATTCTGATAACAGAAGAATTTTCAGTGAAGAGGCTGCTCAGGTCCCATAAGACTGAAAGTAGATATAACGTGATTTATAATCCGGAACAAAATTTCCTTAATCACAAAGTGGAAAGAGGTCCAATTTCGTTTCAGAGTGTTAATAATTTATGTGCTTCCAGCAAAACATAAGAGCCTTTCAAAATTCTCAGCCATGGGGTGGCAATCTTTTGAATTAGACCACAAAGCCAACCTTCTTTCCTTGAACACCTTCTTGTTATAGAATAGATTTGGATTTTTTGAAATTTAGTTTTATGTTCTGATTGAAAAAGACCCCAAACTTGCTATACTTACCTCAATATCTTAAATACAAAATATAGCATATGTGTTAAAATGGAAAAGACGGATTATCAATTTTATGACACTTTCAAAGAGAGTATAAACAGGTTTGATAATCAGCAGACTAAATTTAGAGAAAATCAATTTTAATCTCTTGTAGGCAAGGAGATAAGAAGAGTTCTTTAGGGCTGCCTTCAGAAGTTTTTATCATTTTATGTGTTTAAATTACATGCCCACAAGGCAAGTATCTACTTTACTTGTGCTTCCATTTTCAAATGACATGTACATATAATTTATTTCAATTTTGAATAAATTAAAGCACAGCTCTACATCTTTAGATAAAAATAGCTTCTATAAAACACTGTCTATATCAACAGATGAATTGCAACTTTTTCCTTTTATCTTTAATATAAAAAAGGGTAAGGGGAATGAGGTACTTGAGAAGGCAGCGGCCATGGCCTTTGTCCGTCCCCTCCCCCAGTGCATGGCTCTAGGGTCACAGTCCTGCTGCAGCTTCCCTTTCTCTGTTTACCTGCTTTGTTTGCTTGGGCAAGTTAACTCAGGTTTTCTGGGCCTCAACCTCTCATCTGTATCCTAGGGAAATAAATATTTGTACCTACCTCCTAGGGATGCATTGAGTTGGCTCAAGGAAAGCACTGCAAGTTTCTGGCCTGTAATAAGAATTCCAGCGCTAGCTGCTTTACTATTCTTACTACTAAATGGAAATGAACAGTGGAATCCAAAACATTGGGCTCATTATTAATTGACCCAGAGACTAAGAAAGTGCCACTCAAATACCAAGAACTCCAAGAATTGTTTACTCTCGTGCTGCAGAAAATGAATTAGAGGGATTCCAGAAGGCACCAAAGGCCACTCTGTATCTTCCACCCTTCTCCTGAGGAATCGTGGTGTCCTGAGGAAGTAGAGGACTCTTATTGATCACTCCAGAACTGTGAAGGTCAAGGCCAACTTAAAGGCATAGTGTGAGATGCATTGCTGTTCAAGTCAGCAGAGGACAGGATGCCCCCTTAGAGAATCATTTAGTATTCTACAAGTTTATTGTCAAATGGGAAGAAGAAACAGTAAAATTATAAAATAGGAGCAACATTATTATTTTAAAATAATACTGTTTAAAATGGAGAAGTGAAGATAAGCCAAAAAAACCCTGTGAATTAATAATTTAGTAAATAAACCACAAGTATACACATTGCAAAATAAATACATTAACAATATCCAGTACATGTAATGAAAGAGTGATTTCATGGATATTAGAAAAAAAATGTTAAGTTCCCAGGAAGACTTAGTAAGAAATATCAATTGACTATGTATTAAATATGTATTAACTCTACTGATAGGGTTTTTGTCGAGGGTAATTGAAAAGCAAGATGAACAGTTGAAGGTATATATCATGAGTATGGATGTGAACATAGGGAATTATATTGTAAACATGTAGATTCTTCCCAAATTAATTTATAAATGAAATCCCAATTATATTCTCAAAGTATGACACATCTTCAGTATGATAAAGGTGGCTTTTCATTCTGTGCGAGAATGGTTTATTCAGAACATTATCACTAGGTCATTGAGAAAGTAAAGCCCAAGTTTTATTAGTGGGGGGGGGGGGGG